TTTGGAGACATTTTTTTAGTTTTTTTGGAAACGAATTTAGTTTGTGTAAACGAGGATATTTATAGCTTATTATGGGAGGACTGTAATCCGGATTGGACGAAGTTTAAACAGAGATAAATTAGTGATAATCAATGTTTAGGAAGCAAAACCAAAGAGACGAGGAAAGGAATAGAAACATTTCTCTCTCAAATGAAATTGACTGCTTGAGGCTGGGCTACATTCAAGCAGTGGGCTCAAACTGGACCAATTTGTTCTTTTAAGGTTGGGTTACGCTTTCAATCCAACATAATTTAAAATGAGTAAGAGAAATTGTTTTCTTGTAATTTTGATAAGTGATACATGAAAATTTTTTTATTTGTTACAAACAAGTCACTATCACTTTAGTATAGTATATAATTTTTTAAATATATGCTCTTTCCTTATCTTATTTTATAAGAAAAATTATGAATAAAAAAATACATACATAAATAAATATATACGTACAATTATATGTGTCATTATTATGAATTCATATTTTCAATCCAAATGACATATTTATTAAGTAAGGAAAAGTCTAAGACTCATCACATTTTTTATTAATATAGGATTTGTAACATTCTATCGTATTTTATTCTACTTAATTGTGCAATGCTTGTTTACACCAGTTCTTGTATTTATAGAGGAAAGGGACTTACCTAGGTACGAACTTGCCTCGATTCTAATATCTCTCGTAGAGATTCTCATATTAATGAAACGTTGAATATGTTTTTATATCAATTGTTACAAACTAACATTTTTAACTCAAAAGGCATATTTAGTAAAAAAGAGAATTTTTTTATTTATAAGTTCAAGATGCATTTTTATCTCTTATTGATTTGATGACATAAGAGCTTAAGTAATGGTTTTTCTTTTCCCTGTTGTTGCATTTTGCAGGGTATGTATCCATGCATTTATCACTTTCATTTGTCTTTTTTCTATCGAAGAATACCCTTTGTGCTTAAATTGAATTTGTTATCTATTTTAGCACTACTCATTTCTGATGAAGCGGGTCGGCCATTGGGCGAAGCCACCTCAACAAGGGCTTTAGGCCCCCAAGTTGAAGAAGCCTCAAATTTGGAGAGGTTTTATAATTTTATGATAATTATAATATAATTAATTATATTAAAAATATATAAAGTAAAAAATAATGATTATATGTATTTAATCATCTCTGATTATTATTTTTTAGTTATTTTTTTATTTTCAATTAATGTATTTAATGAATTTCAACAGCTATATTTTTCTCATATATAAAATGAATTATTTCTTTTTAATGTATAATATCTATTTTTAAATTCTTCTTTTTTCATTTGCTACTTCTTCTTCTAACTTCAATTTTCCTCCAATGAATACACCAGAAGCTTGTTATGCTATTATCTTCATAAAACTGTGAGTTTCATTTACGCAATAAGCATTCAACAATTAGGTAATATTGTTTTAATCTTTACAAATTTTTTTACTTTAATTTAGAGTTTATATTATATTGTTATATTGTCTTTATTTTGTGTGATAGTTAATTTATTTGAATTAAAAAATTTTGATTTTTTATTTTAATTATATTAGCCATTTAAAAAATATAAGATAATTATAATAGTTAAATATTTTTATACCTCATAATAAATATTTGAATATATCAAATCAAAAATATGAATCTGGTTATTCAAAACTTAAAAAAAAAAAGAATTGAAAGTTTAATACAACCTCAAAAAGGAGCACTTGATAAATTGTTTACAAGTACTAAAAATAATGAATAAGAAATTATTAATGAACGTCCCTTAAATGAACAAGTTAATAATCTTATAAAGTTAGATGATGATGAAATACAAGAACAATAAGTTAATGAAGAGATTCAAAATGATCATAGAAATCATGAAGAGATTCAAAATGATTGTAGAAATCATGATGAAGAGGATCAACTTGTTAATTAAATGATTGTATTTGTAAAAATATTTACGATCCAAATCAATGGATAAATATTGATACAAATTTAAAAGATTTATCAATATAAAAAGTTTCCATTAAATTTAATAATTTATATTTTCCTAAAGATGAATTTTCAAGATATTTTTTGACTACGTACTCTATTCAAAAGTTAGCAAATAGGGAGACGTATGAAAAAAAATGACTAGTTTATTTAAAAGACTTAGATAGAGTATTTTGTTTTTGTTGCAAATTCTTTAATTTAACTTTTAGAACAAGTAAACTAGTTAATGTTGGCACCAAAGATTGGAGAAACCTTAGTGTTAAGATTAAGAGTCATGTAATGAGTAATAAGCATATTACTAATATGAGTTCTTGGATTGATTTAGAAATAAGATTATTGAAATATAAAACAATTGATAAAGTTGTTCAAGAACAAATAAAAAGAGATGAACATTGGAAAAAGGTATTAACAAGAATTTTTGTTACAGTAAAAAATAGGATGGAGGAATTATGATTTTTTTAATAATTTTTTCAGTTTCAATAAAAAAAATCTCATTTAAATATTTTGCTTTAGTATTCCTTGTACCAAAAAAAAACCTTAAAATCAATTATTCAATAAAAAAATAAAAAAAAAAAACCAAAGTCAACATATGATCAAATGAAATATTCTGTCAAAATCAAATACGCCTTGGAAATGACATAAAAAACCCACATGCTTCTCTGGCTGAGTATGCTTCTATTGAGACATGCAGGGCAGGGCAGGGCAGCTGCCAGGGGTAGTAGTCCAATATTTTCTTTTTCTTCTGAATCAAAATACAGTCATGTCAACTTTCTCTAAAGTAAGCATGACCGACTTCTACTGACTCGAGAAGTAATGTCAGTCAGGAAGGAGCTTTAGCAAACATCCTATAGTTAGAGTACAAAATCGAAAAATTCCACTGGGACCATCAAAATTTGGAATGGAACCAAAGCAATTGGGGCAGCCTTGAATGCAATAAAAGGAACATGGAAGTGGTGATTATGGTATGGAAATCATCAGCATATCATGGAAAGGACTTGCTTGAAGGGCACATAACTCTTTAATAGATTACCATTATGCAGGATGCAGAGCAGCATTAGGAACTAGCAACAGACCCCGCCAAGGTGCAGACAAACGGTGAAATGTGTGACTATACGTGCACATGTAGGCACGAAACACATCTCTTGGGAGTCATTTCGTGGCACCCTTTTGGTTAGCACATCGCCATCACTTGCTTACATTTTTCTTTCTTTTTTTTTGGGTACCCTTTTATGATTGATAGAACCTTTTCAATGTGAATGGTTTCTTAGCAAACAAGACTACAACAACATGCAACAGGGCCCCCGAACTGATAAAATCAAAACCCCACCATATTTTTTTCAAATGTGAATCCAAAACCATCTGTTGGGATGAAGTATGTCGTCACTGTATTGCTAGTTTGAGAAGGTTGGGATTTTGTATCCCCCACATTAGATTGAAAGACCTTTTACAAAAGTGTAAAAGAAGATAATTACTGTCAACCAAATTAAAAGGTAAAATACCAAAGTTTGGAAGGTGTTGGAGACATCACATATTCAGCACTGTATCCCATTTAACAAATATAGTTGTAAGCCAAAAGAGAAGGGTTTTTCTTTTGGGTATGCATTAGGACTTGTTTTAAATCATATATAGGATTCAATTGACCGGAGCATCAGCCATTAGACATCCAGAAGAGGACAAAAAAACCTAGATGCATTAATTATTGAAGGGGCTGTTTTAGCATATGATGGAGTGCTTTTCCTTTTCTTTCTCCCTTTCTAGTCCCTTTCAGTTTGAAGTCGGGAATGGAATGCTGCCTCCTCCTGATCCTAGCATGCATTAGCAACAGGATGTATTGTCTACTTACTCTATTTCCTGTCCCTTCCAAAAGCTTTGTGGATTAAATGAGTGATCCATACTGACCCTAATGGTAATTCGAGTCCTCGAAAACCTGACTTGAATCTTGTTAACACAGGGCATTTTGTCTTTGTGATGGTGCATGTATCCAGAAGAAGCCAACTGAAATTTGTCAAAAAGGGGTCAAAGAAAAGGATTTAAAGGTTTAATATAACTTTCATTAACAATGTTTAGAACCCATACTGCCCCATCCTCTTATGAGCATGATATGGCCCATCCAAGCTGTCCTCTCCCAATCCCAAATTTTTGGATGCAATGCACCTGTAGTTTCTTCTTCCTTTTTTTTTTAACCTCTAATGCCCCTCCCCCAAATTATTCTGTATTCCAGCATTTCAATCATTCACTATATGAATTGGCAACATCTGTGAGATTCTATTTATCTATGTATTTATGGACCCATTTTCTAATTTGTCAATCCTAAGACTGTTTGTTTCCATTTATCCTTATTTTTAGATGTCGGATAAAGCAATATTTATTTCCAAGTCTTGCACCTTTCATTTGATGAAACTCCATTTTCTGACTGCTTGGAAAAATATAGTATGCACAAGTCTAAGTGATTATCCAAAGAACAGAGAATTGATGAAATATGTGGATGTTGACATTGCTTCAACATTATATATATATATTAAAAACTTTATGAAAAGCAAGTGATTAAACTAGTGATGCTCGTCCACAATTGAATTTCTGAGCTATTTCTTAATATATTATGTATTTGTCCGAGAATGTTTTTTATGATTGATTGAAAGACACCTGAATAGCTGAGGGAAGAACAAGTCACTACTGGCAAAGTTGATTTCTTTTGGATAGCTATCAAGCCTAACATTTTCTGAGTGACCTGCTTGTCTTATTAATTGGCATTTTTATTTCATTTTAAATCTTGAGCAGAAGTGGCTAGTTCAATGGTTTACAGCCACTTGACAGAGTTGATTTATGCCTGAGAATATCAAGTCTGTCTCTATCAAGGTGGGTGAATAACAGAAACATATTGGAGCACAGGATTAGTCAAATGTCAATCTTCATGTCCATATATGATCTGCAAGTTCCTTAAACATTTCAAGAACTCTTCATCTCTCAAAGAAACCGTGAAGCAAGCTAAAGTATCAAGTTGAATGAGAAGAATTGGTATTGGAAGTGGCCAAAAGCCAAGTTTCAAATCATAAATTGACATAATACTCCACAAAATGGGCATGAATATACAAGCAATACATAAGCGAAGTCCTGTTATAGCCAGCTCTAACTTAACTTGCTCCAGCTGATATCGCATCATCGGTGCATAAAGGTGCTACAGACCACGAATAGATTTTTAGAGACAAACTAAGAAATAAAAGCCCTTAATTTAGACAAAAAGTTAGGGATATACTTATGTATTTTGGACTCAACCCTTTGCGTAATAGTGATAATTTCATTAGGACAATTGACATCTAACTTGAAACAGATTTGACGTGCAGGAAAGTGGAGGAAACACTTGCCACGTATCTGGGAACAGATTTGATTTGCTGGAAAGTGAAGTGGGAAGCATATTCATGTGCTTTGTAGCAAACAAGAAGGTAAGGGCCAAAAGTGCAGTCAAAGTGGCCATGTCGAATGGAAGCAATTCTGTTCTCCATATCTATCTCTTGCCCATTTCTCCATCTGTTGTGCCACATGTGAATTTGTCCCCTGCATCATTTAACATCCACAATCACTCATCTACCCTAAATATACATGGAATTTGCATGAAAAGTTTAGTTACTTTTCCTTAATCACATATTCAATTCATGTTATTGCTTAGCGAATTACATATGTGAAATCAAGTGGCTAGACTTCGACTCTATTTCTGGTTTTGACAGAACACTTTATTCAGGTTCTGGCAGCAAGTCTTTTTTAAGGTTTCAACTGAGTTTGTTACATTCAATTTCAGCATTCAGGTCTCTCAACAAGCAATTCAACAACGACACTTCATTTAATAGGTTGGCTAGTGTGCAATAAAAAAGGTTGTCAACTCATTATTGGTGATAGCTTTCAGAAGTTACTTAATTGTGTACCTGAGCCTTTTTGAAGCACTCTGTTTCCAAGTTCAAGTCATAAGCAGAACTGGCAGCAGCAAGCTCCATTGAAAGAAACTGTTTTTGGGAAATAAAAAGAAAAAGAAAATTAGTTCAAAATTGCTGGTAGTATTAACTTGGGAACTAAAAACATTTAAGTGGTTATACATGATTTCTTGGCATTCAATTTACCTCTACTTGATTCTGTAATGAATGAACATAATTGATTATCTCGTCCAGCATAACCGCCATCCCCATTGTCTGTTGAATCCAGTCAGACGCTCATGTTAAATTACGTATGTTCACAGCTAAGTCAAGATTCATTCAAAAAAATAACATGATTGCACCTGGGAAAGTTTTACCTTGTGGCATCCAGGAACAAGGTCTTGCAAGCACCTCATTTTCTCATTTATTTTCTCTCTTCTTACCTGATAAAAAAACTTGGTCATGTTAGAGTTTAAACATCATTTCATTATTTCCAGAACAATTCCATTCGTTCTGAGACCAAAGAAAAAAAAGCTAGTAATGGATTTATATTTTCTACAAAGATGTACAAACCTACCCTTTCTGCTAAACTGTGACTGTCAGTAGCTTGCCCCCTTCTTGCTCTAACGTGAATTACTTCCTCTGCTTTCTCTGGTTGTTTCTCATTGCTCTTTCCTTTCTTCCCTCTGCCTAATCTCTGAAAGTATCAAAATGTAAAAGAGAAACATAAAGCTCAAATCAACGTGAGAATTAAAATTTGTAAGAGAAAGAAGGGTTGAAGAAACAAATGGACATACATTCTTTTTCCTGGTACTGTTGTTTCCTCCGATTTCAGTTGTGGAAAGTGCTGGAGAAATGCTTTGGTAGTTGCTGGTGGATTGTTCCATTGCTTTTCTCTTCTTGCTTTCAATGAAGACATCCTCATCCACCGTGACAGTACGAGCTGTTGGTATTGCAGTGAAGCTGCCGGCAAGCACAGTAGTGGAAAGGCTGTCATGAGTACAGCTTGCTGGGTATTCAGGTAGTTGGTGGGCCAATAAGGTTTCTAGTGAGAAGTCTGCAATGCTGAAATTCTCCAAAAGAGTTGAATTCAGCTCGGAAGACTGCTTTGTCATTTCCACGCTGATATCCATTTCTGAAATAGGTTGAGAAGGTCTAAAGCCCTGCAGATGTAGTCTAAACTCGCCCATATAAAAAGTTTCAATTCTGGACGAATTAAAGACCTCAATTATGGAATGAATTGTAAACAGATTGACACTGCTATTTATAGGGGTACCTTATTAGTGAGTTATTAGCATGTCCAAATCATAAAACTGTAGGGTCTAGAGTAATTTTGTTTTTGCTTTTCAATCAAGTAAAACTGAAAACGCATGGGAGTTCCAAGTGGAGATCTCATTTTCTAATCCTGAATTTCTTTTGGTAGGCTCCACTGAGAAGATTGCATAAATCCAATGGAATGGGCCATTGTAATTTTTGAAGTGGAGTTGAAACATTGGAATATATAAAAGGTATAAAGTTCCCTTTTTTTCTTTGTTGATAAAAAATATGGTAAAGCTCAGGAAATAAAGGTAGTAGTAGATAACATTCATGGCTTTCTTCTTCTATTCCTTCTTTTTCATTCCTTCCTTTTCCAAACTTAACCAGTACAGTGGGTCAGCAATTCTAGCACATGGCACTAGCATTTGCCCAAAGATAAGTGCTATTCATGAATGGAAATCAGAAAGTGAAGCAATTGCCTGTGAAGCAGAAGACTTTTTTTTCCCCTGCAAGCAGGTTTCCCATTATTAGATTTTGAATTCATAGTGAACTTATGCCTCTATGGTCCCATTCTTTTCTCTTTTTCTTTTTGGCATAAGAAAGTTATCATAATTATATTAGCTTTAAAATTCAGGTTCTACCTACATCAAGCTGTCGACAATGGATATCACCAACAACAATTCTTGTACAAAAAGATAAAACAAAGTGTCAAGAAGCTGATTAATAGTATATTCTCAAACTGACTTAAGGTAGCTTGATCCCTTGATGTATCGAAAAGTCTGCTACAACATTTTTCTTCCTACAGCATAACCGAACCTGGGCGAATTGCACAAAAAGATCAAACACTGAAATAATGAGAAAACTATCATCAATGTTTCTAGCTGATAACGTGGTGATTCCTAGACACTTAATGGTAGCATCACTTATCAATCTCTGAGAATGCCTTGTTGTACTGCTACTATCTTTCGAGCCATAGTCTTTTACTGAATACTATCCAGATGAAGGCATGAAAAACGAAGCCTGCTCCACTTTCTGATAACTCCAAAAGCCATCTTCTGATTTCTATATTACTAATACGAAAAGAAAGAGGATATTCCAATTTTCAGTTTTGACAGGGAAATTTGGAGAACGAGTCCCAAGTGCTGACGGACAAACCCCAAAGTGGCAGAGTCCTTCTCCTTGACCAATTTAACTAAAACCCGTATAATTTCCCAGGTTCCAAGGCCCTGTATCCTCTGTAACTCGACTAATATTTATCTCGCTCTTTCTTACTCTCCTCTGCCTCCTTTTTTTTCTTATTTGTTCGGTGTTTGCAAAAGTTTTACTGATAATTTTCAAGTAAAAGAAGATGAAGGTGATAGCAGCATACTTGTTGGCGATGCTGGGAGGAAATACCAACCCTTGTGCTGATGAGTTGAAGCACATTCTTGGTTCTGGTATTCTTTATTCTTTTAGTTTCTATATGTTTAATTGGGACATGGCTATAGGCTACAAGATTTATTAAGACAGATTTTTCATCATGGAGATCAGTTTAAGTTGGATATATTATTTTAAGTCAGAACACCCTGCTAAAGTATAGGACAAGTTTTTCTTGGTAGCAACTTTCATGGAAGCAAATTAAAAGCTAATAGTGAAAACAAGAAGCAAATAAAACCATTTATTGATTTCAGTTTGTTACTGCTGTTTTGGTTGACAGTTGGAGTTGAAGCTGATGATGCCAAGATTGAGTTGCTTTTGTCCCAAGTCAATGGAAAGGATTTGGCAGAGCTTATTGCTGCTGGAAGACAGAAACTGGCAGCTATGCCTTGTGCTGGAGAAGCTGCTGCTGCTGCTGCTGTTGGAGGTCATGCGGCAGCCTCTGCTGCATCTCCCTCTGCTGCTGCTGCTGAGGACAAGGAGCAGAAAATTGAAGAGGAATCAGATGAAGACATGTGCTTCAGTCTGTTTGATTGAGGAATTAATTAGAAAGCCTGACTTCATTAGTTGTTTCGAAATCAAACCTGTTAATCATGTAAAAATTACAATTCATATTTATTATAAATTAATTTAATAATTTAAATCTTTTTCCTAATTTAAATTCTTTTGGTTGAGAATTATCCCAAGTTCCCTTTCACTGATTTACGTCTGTTGATCAACCACGCACGACTTGCTAATGAGATCATCAAAGGGAAGAGTTCCAAAGGCAATAGGTTGGGTTCCGAATATTGTATTATTTCAATTAAGAAAAAACATAGTAGTACTATTTATTTAAAATTATTTTCAGTAATGGGTTCAATACGTCGCCGTTTTAATTTATACAATAAAACAAAACAAAACACCGTAAAAGCTCAAGCGAGCGCTGCCGTTTTCCCTCCCTTGGCCATCCGCGTCTCTTCCTCAATAGTATTAGCTCGCTCTCTCTCTCTCTCTCTCAAAACCCCTAACAGATTTCCGAAATCTTTAACAGTCAGTTTTGCTGCTATTCATATCAGACGAGAAGTTACGAAGGTAATTCTCAACACAATTTGCATTTTATTATTTTAATTCAAAAATTTCAAGTTTTTTGACTCTCTTTTTACTTCTTTTACTGTTAATTAAGTGAACTGTTCAATCTTTAAATTCTTTTTTTTTTAATTTTCCATTCAATTTAGGTTTTTTAATGCAGAATTTATGGTTTTTAGAGGCCTCAATAAGGAACAATAAACTTTATATATATATATAAATTTGTATAAATGACTGTTTCTGCAAGTAGAATGAACTAATGATAAATTACAGTAGTAATATGATAAATGTGAAGTAATGAAGGAATGATTATCATTCAACTGTGGGATTAAAGGGGAAGTGATGCTATATGCTTGAATGATAAATAAGGTTAAAAGAATTGTGGCATGAACCATAGAAGGAATTATATTTCACCAAGATTACGTAAAACTGGCTTTTGTTAGCAATTTATGTACAAATTACATTAAGAAATACCAAGTTTACTCACCTAATCTTTCGTCCAAGAAGGCATTTTTGGAAGAGTTCAGGCTTCGATTTTCATTTGGCATGTGAGAAACTCACCCAGGCACTGTCTTGAGATTTAGGGGGATTTTGGGTATGAATTGAAAGTTTGAGACAATGATTCACTTGACTTTTTGCAGCTCCGGAATTTCGGCTAAAATTGTCCCTTGCTTGCCGCCTCCTTTCTTTTAATCTTCACATGTTACATAAGAACTTCATGTGCACATTGTCTTTCAGGTTTGCAACTTTGAAACTAGAGTTTTTGTTTTCTATTGGGGCCACTGTGAATGACTTGAGACCATGATTTTCCCATGAGCGTTTGAAGCTTGACTTTTGGCTGAAAATGTTCCTTATCTGCAAGAGAAACAATGTCAAAACAAACCTCAAAAAAAGCCTGAAACTCCACATAAATATTATGGCCCTAAGACATCCCCAAGATTTCAACTAAAGACAAAAGAAAATGCATTATGTGGCATGCAAAATGCCAAAGCCGAAACAGGCTTCAAATTCTTAAAATCACATAAATGCGATGGCCTCAAGTGGTTTCCAAGATTACAAATAAAGATCAATACATTTTCTACTAATGTGCAACCGAAACTCTTGAGTTTAAAGTAAGTCCTGTAGGGGCTTGACATGGAACATGAAGTTCTTAAGTTCAAAACAGTTAGGAAACCTAAGGGATTCAATACCAGTCTCTATAAAAAGCCCCTATCTTGTCCCACTCTGGAGGGAGGTCTTGTTTCTATTTTAGAACACTTGTGAAGAGTTTCAAGGAGTTTGAGATGTTGAGTTATATCTGCAATTTTTTCTGGTAGATCAGCTGTAGTCAAATTTCTGTAGCCTCTCTCCTTTCTATGTTTTATTAAATTCAAACTTATTTCATGTTCAAAGACACCAGGCTTGTTTTTTGTTTCCTATTCATTTTTTCATCAAATTTTTTTTTCTTTACTTAGTGTATCTAATTAGTATAATAATCAATTGAGCGAGCATTGCATATCTCTTACTTCAACTTCTATTGACATTTCCTTTTTAATACTTGGGAAATTGACTATAGAAACCTCAGAGTTTACAGTTTTGCAATCTTGTAAGGAAATGTAAAAGTGGTAGATTGATCATACTTTGGATAGTTGGCAGATTTTCTCTTACAGTACTTTGGATTATGTACATATTTATCATTCATCAACACATCTAATTCATCTAGACCTCTTCGTTTTGCACACAGTTCCACAGCTATACCTTCTTGTATTGCAAAAGTTCCTAGTCTTAATTGCTTAAATTATAACCCCAAGTTTGTCTTTTTCTTTTCTTTATTATGGTATCAAGTCTGAGGTCAAGTACTTGTCGGAGTTTCCTCTCTCAGCAGTCCGGTCGAACTTTAGCTATACCGGCATTTTCCAAGGGAACATTTGTCGATTCATGGGACTTGCTCTTTGGTTTCTGGGACAGTTAGGACTGCTACCGAGGAGCCGTTTTCTATTGTCATTCAATTGAATTTCGAAACTGGAAAATCAGGAATTTCCTTCTCTTTGATTTTCTTCCTCTTTCCTTGACCAGCAGTTTCTGCACTGAGTACTGAAATGGAATGTACATTATATTCTCCAATGATGATTAAGTTACGTATCCTCAGTTTTTACATTTGTAAGTATTGGATAAAAGATAATTTCTCTTCTCTCTCTTTTGTCCTTTCTAAATTTTATGAAAGGCATCCAAATTCCAGAGTGAGAGAAGAGAAGGACTTGGAGTATCACTCAATAAATTTTGACATATTAGTAAGGATTTAACAAACCAACATCCAATGCATCATGAAACTTATCGCTCAGTATAAATGTTTTTATGATTTTTTAATAAAGGGAAAATAAATTCACATGCACAAAAATAGATTTAATAGCTGAATATAAAATGGTCTTCAAAAAAGAAATAAGTTTAACGGAGGGATCATTATGATATAAAAGACAATGCAGCTCAAGTATAATTCATTATCATAACATTATTCATAAGTTACAATTAAAACAAATTATGAACCAATTGTTATACAGATAAGAAAAGAAAGGGATTTTGATGTAAACTGTAAGAACAAAAAAAATTGCTACCAATGTCTGGGTTTTGTCAAAAGTTTATGTTAATTTATGGGTTTTATTTATTTGGTTTAATCTTTAGTTTCTTTTGCTGAATCTAATAATTAAGGTTAAGCAAAGCTCAAATGAAATCTGTGTGAAACAGCGCAAATTGTCTGCATTGTCTAAGACTGTGAGTCCTGATTTACTGCCATTATAATTACTCCATCTACAGGAAAATTTGCAAACCCAAGAAGAAGTGGGTAAATCTAGAAACAAGACCACACTGACAAAGTCCACATGAGATATCGTGCCCAATATCAAGGGCGAGCTCAATTTTCTCAGCAATGGCCACTTTTCTGTCAATCCAACCCAGATTCCATCTCCAATCTACTCCTAAAATGACCTTCCAGCCCTTTGCTATCCTAAACAAAACGCAGAAAATGAGAGTTCCATATGAGCTGAAACAAGGGCAGGCACGTATTTTTCATCGGCTTCCTTCTGGTCTGAACTTGGAGGTTATTGTGCAGAAGAGTGTGAAAGAAAAAGACCCAGATGAGAAAAAGTGCCCACCTTTGGTTTTTGTTCATGGAAGTTACCATGCAGCTTGGTGTTGGGCTGAATATTGGTTGCCTTTCTTCTCTGCTTCTGGCTTTGATTGCTATGCTCTTAGTTTGCTTGCTCAGGTCATATTTCTCAATTTTTTTTAAAGCTCAATGTTTTGCTTTGTGCTGAAAGCTTGAAATTAACACCTCCCTAGAGCTTAGATTTTACATTTTAGGCTAAATAGTAGTAATTGCTACAACACCTATCGCCATCGCCCTATAGTTCACTGAGATGAAGACCAATTTTAGGGCAATGTGGTATAAATCTTTTCTTTTCCTTTTTTTTTTTTGTTTTTGGTAAGAAAACTTAAACAGTCGGTTCTAAAATGCTAAGGTGAATGAAATGCAAGTATATTACTCTATAAACTGAATGATTTAAGACCTAAAATTATCATTAAGAGATGGGCTTTGCAGCTATAATCTTGCATTTCCTACGTTATATTAATTGTAATTAAGGGTCCTTAGTATTATTATGCTTTCAGATAAATGAACTCTTCCTTAATAATTCTGTCGACATAGAAGTAGTAGACATCACAGCAAAATCAATGGGATGTTTTCCCTTTGACCATTGGATAGTAATGCTCTTTTTGTCTACTTTCACAATTAAAATCCTCTTGGACCATGTTTCATCTACCAAGAGCATCATCTCCACATCCTTTATTAGACTGAGTGACTGACTACAACTCCTAAGCTATCTCTCTTTAATAATTTGAAAGCTACTTTTCAAAAAAACAAAATTGAAAGCTGAGGTGTTTGGTTATAAACTTATCAAAGCTTGACTAACAATAGTCTTAGTTTAGCTATGGCATATTTACAAAATTTCATTTTTAAGCAACTTTTGTTTGCAAATTGGGTACTGATTTGGAATATTGTTGCTGCATGAGGGCAGGGTGAAAGTGATGCACCTTCTGGTACTGTTGCCGGTTCACTTCAGGTATTTTCCCTTTTGCGAGTAAATAGTTGCTTTCAAAGAAATAACTTTGATAATGCCTTCTTTGACTCTTTTGAACACTATTGATTAGACTAAAGGAGATCCTCTTCTAATATGCCGTTCACTCATAATCTGTAGACACATGCAGGTGATGTCGCTGACTTCATCGAAAGGAACCTCAACTCACCACCAGTCTTACTTGGGCACTCGTTTGGAGGGCTTATCATCCAGTATTATATTGCAAATATGAGCAATGAACAATCTTTTGGTATGTACATATGGGTGGTTCACAATATTCAAGAAAGTGAGGAATAATAGATCAATGAGGCATAGGCAATAGTTTGGTATGATTGTGACATTGTCGTAGTAAAGTTCTTTGCCTCTGCTTAATTTTGTGAAAGTGTTCCTGAAGGTGATTCACACTTCCTGATCACATGTGAATCATCTTACTATTTGTTCATGAGTTTGAAAAACTGTAGAAATATTGGGTAGAATATTTAAGCTAATCTTAGAAATCATTTGACTGACTATGGTTCTTGTCTAGAATCTAGCTTGTGCCTCAAGGTAATAATGCATGACCTTATATAAAATTTAGACTATGACATTTGTTTCCATGTTGAGGTAGGTCTTGTGAAGTGAGTCTTATAGATCTAAAAGCCTATCTTTCATGATTTGATCTTGACTTTTTTAGTGGTTTGAAGACAGAATTTCCTTATAGTGACTGTCTTCTTATGCTGATTGCATGTATCTAGAAATGGGCACTTTGTACCCCAGACTCACAGGCGCTGTTTTAGTCTGCTCTGTTCCACCCTCTGGTAATAGGTGACTTACCATGCTACAGAAGTTACACACTTCTTTATTTTGAAAGTAACTGCCCATGCCTGACATTCCTTGTTTTGCTCAGTGGCTTAGTGTGGCGATATCTCTTTTCCAAACCCATTGCTGCTTTTAAGGTAACTGCTTTTACATTTTGAGGACACCAATATGAAAGCACATCTCAACCCCCTTGTCTTTTCAGGTTCATTCATTCAGACTAGGTTTATGGATGTAAAGGAACTTGAATCTGCATTTTATTCTTCCAATACGCTTCACAAGCTCTGAAACTATGCCACCGGTCTCAATATTTTATTTTAGATTTTGCAAGCTGTATTTTTCCTCAGGGTCAGAGCGAGATTACTTAGAGATTCTGCATTTTTATATTGAGGACATCCCATAATTGAAATTTAGAAATAAATAAATAGCGCAAAGAAAAAATACCACAAGAGAAACACATTCTTCTCTGATTGAGAAAATGGTAATAGTTTTTCATGAATCCTACTTTTTTTTCTCCTGCCTTAACTTTCATGAAGAATATACATATGAAACCTTAAATGCTTGACAAGGATTTGTTTAATCTCCTGAGCAGGTGACTCGTAGCCTAGCTGCTAAAGCTTTTCAAACTTCGCTATCTCTTTGTAGAGAGACCTTTTTCTCTTCTAAAATGGAAGATAATCTGGTGCTACGGTTTGTACATCGTCCATCTATTTACATCTATGAGCATTGGTTTCTTTCTGTTGTTTGGAATTGTTAATGGTAACAAATAAGTTTCCTTGTATAATCGTGTTTCATTCAAAATTTATAGTGAAATAAAATACCAATAATGCAAACCGAAGTCATATTTGTAATTTTGAATAAGACATAGATGTCTATAACCTCAACAATATCAACTTAATATAAAATTAACTTGAGAGTCTGTTTGTGTAAAAGACATTTTGAAGGTGAATTCACAAAATAATGAGGTCTTTTTTTTTTTCTCTGGTATCTGGATTTCTGTCTTCCCATTTTCAGACTTTAAATAAGATGTTTATATAGCAATGAGATTCTGAAGTTAACAAGTAAGGAAATGTGAATATTCATAATTATTTTTCTGCATAGATGTAATAGGATGTGACTCTTATTTGGCATTTGGTGCTTTACTACTTCAACTTTCCAACGGAAGGTGATTGTTGGGTTAAATTAGTAGGAAGAAAACATTGTAGCTTTTAGTATATATGAGAAAGTGCTAATTCAAATCTTAAAAAGATAACATTACAGTGATTGATTTACAAGTTCTTTATTAGAAATGTGATATTAATTTCTTAAATTATGCTTATATATCAAAATACTAGTTTAATACACTTTCATGCTTTTATAATTAAATTAGCTAAGTTTTAGAGATTAAATTAGTTAATTTGTTTATTTAATTATTTATTTAGTTAGTTAATTAAATTGGTTTAATTATTTAATTAATTAAATGAGATTTGCATATTTTTATAATTAAAATAGTTAATTGAACGAGAATGTGAGAAAAAAGCTGCCGGGCATCTCGATTCAAAAGAAATTAGTTACTTTCCCAGTACTTTGAAAAGTAACATTACCATCCCTCCTCATGGGAATGAGATTCCCATGGGTGAAGGGAGAGTGATACCAAAGAGGAGGGAACGATGCTAGAAAGTGGAGTACACACACAGAAATCGTAGTCCATAACTCTAAACTTTGTTAACTGGGCACCCATATTAAAGGCACTAAATATAGTAACGATATGGTTGTAGCTAACTTTTGCCTTTTTACATATCCTCTTAGCTTAACACAGGTTCAGTCAAGGTCTCAAACCTATACGGATTGTATGATGTGCTTAGGCAATAGGGTCAAGGTGTACATGTCGTCATGCTATAATAATAACATCATGGAGGACCAGCTTTCAGCGTTAATTTCCTATAGTGACATGCAGTGGTCGATAAAATAACTACATAAGTATTTTGACTTAAAGGATCCACTGAGGTGGCAATTGCAAAGCATATAACTTATATCATTGCTTATTAAAGTTGAGCAGTGGATTCATACTTAGTTACGAATTGAGAGGAGAGAGTAGTCAAAGAGAGAAAGTTTAGAAAATCATACTTGATGTTTCACATAATATTTTACAAGTAAAAGAAGACCTGTCTCGTTTATATTGAAAAAGTTGCCTTATATAGGAGTTATAAGACCAAATAAGAACAAACTAGTCATTATCGATGATAGTGGTTTGACACTTACAAGATTTCTATGCCTTTATTAAAGTCCTACATGATAAGACTAAAAGGTTACATAATTGGTACACATTTTCCTAAAAGTGAGAGCAAACGATAAAAACAAAGGCATAAAGACAAAAGAGGAGAGAATCTAATTCATTTTGCTTCTTTTGAGGTGATGTTGCTTTTAAGGAGAGCACTGGATCTATAGTTCTTTATTTTGATGTGACAACATACTGGTGACGTGGCATGTTGAAACACTTAGTATTATTAAACATAATTTGAATTTTATGGATTTTGGATTTTGGACTTTCATCGGTTGTCAAATGGGAAGTTCAGATAGTTGTTGTCTGCGCCAAGGGAGAAGTTATAGTCAAAAATTTGTTCATAGGTTCGGTTTGTTGCTTCCATTTCTTTTTCGGGGAGTATTTCTTTGCCTTTGCTGGTGGATGCCTTGGTTACACCTGGTCTTATGGCATAGCTCATCGACAAAGAAGTCTTCCGAGTCAAAATCTTCACCTAAGTCATATGGAACATTTTCAAAATCATAAGCATCAAGGTCTTGGGTCTCTTTGAAGCTAGTTGGGACTTTTGGCTGTGGCTCTTGAATGACCGGTGTCTGTCAATATGGCTTCCATTGTATCGGCTTGAGCTTAGACATATTAAATTCAAAGATAGGATCTACTAGTTTGGTGGTTGGGTTTCAAAATTTGTCTTGATAGATTTGTTTGTTAATCCTCAATTGGGTGACATAGTCTTTGGGATATTCTTTCCAAAGCTAGTCATGAAACTAGGGCTTGATTTTTACTAGAATGGCTTTGTTCATTTCACAGAGCTGTTTTTATATTTCAGCATACCCTTGAGGATGCATATGAATTTCATTGTGGAGGGAGTATGGTTGGTTGGAGAGGATGGCTGTGTAAGGGAAATAATGGATGGTATCTTTAGAGTTGTAAAGGCCTATGAAACATGATGAGATTATATTTGTGGTTTCTATGGAATATTTGGTACATTGTGAGTCATTTTTCCCAAATAGGCATGGGTTTGAACCAATTGAGGAAGTGTTTGAGGTGGTCATGGTGTGGATTAAGGATGTGCTTGTTGGGCCTAAAAATGTTGTCCAAGAACTTTTGGAGAGTTTTCATGAGAAGATCAAATGGAAACTCAATAGCAACATAGTATAGGTGACAAAAACGCCAGAGAAAGCAAAGAGTCTTTTTTGGGAAAGTTATCTAGTGCTGGGTAGGAAAACGGATTGGGTGAATGAATGGATACCTAAGATGAATTTCTATGGGCTGGATTGTTCTATCACCAAATCTCCTTATTATCTGACTTTGATATCTTATTCAGAGTGGGTAGGCATGAGTATGGAGGGAATGTGTGGTAACTAAAGTAAGGAGCCCTGGTCGGAGCTCATCAAGGGGAAGGTTTTCCTCTAGGTAAGGAAGGTCTTTCGAATGAAGAAGATATGAAGGGTTGACAGAAGGGTTCGAAAGAGGAGGGAGCATCTCCAAATGGTCAAAAAAAGGGTCTAACCATTGCGATAACTAGGAGTATCTTGGAGAGGGAGTGATTTTGAGTAAAAAGACTTAGTCGAGATAGCATATCCAGGAAGACATTGTCCTTACCTTTTATATGCTTAAAGGAAAAAGAATACTGTGAAAATCATTGCATCCAATGTAGTAGCTGTGCCTGTGCGTTAGGAAGAGTTTTCTTTCTGAAGTTAAGTATGTGCTCAAAAGCTGACATGTTTGATTCCACAATGAAATGATGGCCTATTAGATGAAACTCGAACTTCTAAATGCTATTTTTGATGGCAAGAATCTCCTTAAAAATGGAGTGGTAGTGGATTTTCAGGTTTTCGACATCCTTTTCTTTGTCAATTGGACTCTTCAAGTAATATCACGGACCAATAATGGTTACTTACATTAGTTTGGAGTATATTTTTTTCCTCGTCAGAACTCACTAGGGTAAGAGACAAACTCTTCCATTATCAAAGTAGTCGCATCATTAGGCATGGGGACCAAGCAATTAGACCAATTGGTATAGATCACAAATATCCTTTCCTCCATCTCTTTCGTATTCCCTACTATGCCAATTTCCTAAAACGTCTACTACCATTTATATAGTACCTTTGCCAGCTCCATAGCATTGTCATCAAGTTCCCTGCTCCCAATCTCAAGTGGGCCATCATAGAGAGGTTCCAGTCAGACCACCTCTCAACATTTCTCAAATGGTTCTATCCTTTGGAAACGTGGCAAACACTTTTCAAAACTCACATCAGTGATCCATGCAGTTTTATAGTCATCATCTTTGAAAGACTTTTTACTTCAGAAGGATTCAAACCATTTGTTACACCTTACACTTCCTCCCCACTTCCTCTTTTATGAAAACCCTTTCATAGGGAAACAACTTTACAAAGAATTGCTTAACCTTCTCTGCAACATGAATGGCAAAACCATGTCTGACGAAAGATATCCATATCTCCAAGAGAATCCATGGTGACACTATCTAATGGGGTATGCCCAAAAACTGAAGCTACAGCTACAAATCGACACCAACAGCCACTCTCGATAGTAGAACTCAAATGATTGGAGATATGAGCCTTTACATCTTAGACATGTGAGTCTTCCCTTAATGCTCCTTTCCAAACCAAAATATTTTTCTTACAATCCATACTGGACAAATGATCAGGACTTTAGTTTTGACCCAAGCATACTTTTCAAGATGATATGTGCCATTTTGACCGACAAATGTACCTTCTAGCAAGGGTTGACTGAACCAATATCTTAACTCTAGGAGCGGATGGAAAACTCCGCGGCCAGAACTATGGAGAAAATGTCCAAGAGAAACTTACCATTACAAATCAAGAATGACCCATTCCCCCAAGACAAGCAAGGCCCAACTCCATAGAAAATAGTTTATAAAAGCGCAAAATTCAAAGCTCATAAAATTCAAATTATGTTAAGGGTCATGTCACCAGTATGTTGTTGTATCAATAAAATAAAGGAATCCAATACTCTCCTCAAAAGCAACGTCACCTCAATAGGAGCAAAAAATAATCAAATTCCCTCCTCATTTATTTTTATGCTGTTGTTTTTATCTTTTACTTTCACTTTTAGAAAAATGTACACCAATTATATAACTTTTAGTCTCATTATGTAAGCCTTTAGTGAAGGTATAAGAATCTTGTAAGTATCAGATCACACAGTCGTTAGTGACTAGTTTATTATTATTTGGTCTTATAACACCCATATAAGGCAACATCCTTCAACATGAAGGAGACACGTCTTCCTTTACTTGTAAAATATTATGTAAAATATCAAGTTTGGTTTTCTAAATTCTCTCTTTGGCTACTCTCTCTTCTTAGTAATTGAGTATGAATCAACTACTCTCACTTAATAAGTAATGACATGATTCATATGCTCTGCAGTTACCACCTCAATGGATTCTTTATATCAAAAACTTATGAAGTTGTTTTACTGATAACCGCATGCCACTGCAGGAAATTAACGTCGAAGGCTGGCAATTTGCGACGCCGTTACTATAGCATGACGGCATGTACATTAGTGGCCTGTTACCCTAAGCACATCATACGATTCGTATAAGTCTAAGATCTTGATTGAGCCCGTGTTAAGCCAAAAGAGTGTGTAAAAGGGCAAAAGTCAACTACAAACGTATTGTGACTATGTTTAGTGCTTTCAATATGAGTGCTTGATTTATGATGCTCAGTGTTATGGATTACGATTTTCGCATGTGTATTCCTATTTTCAGAAAAGGTGCTAACTTTTCACATGAATTGCTTGACAAGTTTGAATGTTAAACCTCATAATCATGGAGTGTAAACTTAACTCTTAAGTGCACATCTGCCCTTCAGATAGATTTATCATTCTTCTGTGGTGGGAGAAGTGTGTCATCATGGAGTGTTTGTGTTTGCCTGAAATTCCCAGAGCTTTTCATGTGTCATACACTATGAGTTGCTGTCGTTCTTCTCTTTCTAAGTTACAGGACATCAAAAAGTTTTGCTTATTCATTTTGCATTCCATGGGCCAATAAAAATTTTCTCATTTGATGTACTGAAGAAAATGTCTTCTAGATTAAAACCTAGTTCCCTCAATCCTTTTCTTGTATTCTGTCATACTGCATGCCGGCTTTGATTATATTTGTTTTCTTTCAGTTACCAGGAGCTAATGAAAGAAAGCTCAAGGATGCCGTTGTTTGATCTTAGGAAGCTGAATGCATCTCTTCCAGTGCCAAAAATGACCAAATCTACTGAAGTTCTTGTGCTGGGTGCAAAAGATGACTTCATAGTGGTAATCCCCATCTTCAGCACATGATCTATTCCCTTCCAAGTTTACTGTATATTGTTTCCTCTGATCCCATACCAAAGTCTGCAAACATATGAGAATTATATGAATAAACAGAAAAATTAAATGCTTGAAAATTTGCTTTTACTTTTTTCATCATTTTTGGACCCTTTTCCCCCTGTTTATAGATCAATATGATTTGTAGGACGCTGAAGGACTGAGGGAAACAGGCAGGTTCTATGATGTGTCACCAATTTGTATTGAAGGAGTTGCCCATGACATTATGTTGGACTGTTCTTGGGAAAAAGGTGCTAATGTGATACTATCATGGTTAAATGGTTTGAGCAGATAGTACATAATATGACTATGCGAGGATATTTTATAAAAGGCTTCTCATTTGCTCTCAGCCAACATGTATGAATAATAATGTTTTTTTTTTTTGGATAATTCGAGATTTAACTCAAGGAAATGCTTGATAAGAATGATGAATTAATGATAATTCATTCTTCATTTTTATATATATATTTTTAATTCTTTCTAATTTGAAAGCCATTTTCTCTTTTCATTAAAGTGTAAAGGCGATAAGAAAACAATTGTTGAACTACCTATTAATTTTAAACTTTTAATATGCTATTTTGCTATAGTGATTTAAATCATAAAACAAGGAAAAAAAATTGAATAGATCAAATTGAAGATTTGCCTTATTTTTCAAATATTGAAGATAGTCGTTTTTTATTTTTTTTGCTTTTTGCTTTTAATGTAGGGTAAAAATTAAAAGGCTTTTTTTTTGAATAAACTCTTTATTCTTTTATAAATCGAGGGAGATAAATCTCCAACATATTATACCTCATAAGATTATTTGTTCTTATAAAAAGAGAATAAAAACCCGATCGAAAAATTTAAATTCGTTATAAAATTAACAAAGCAATTATCTTCTCTATAGATATATTTTGTGACAATCATTAATTTTTGTTTTATCAAGTTACATATTACACTGATTAGAACATTTAACATGAAAGTAAATATTATTTTTAAATAATTAATAATTGATATTATTTTTTTAGGTTATCCTCTAATTTTTTAACAAATATTTAAAAAGTAAAAAATAAATACCAAAAAAAATAGTAAAGCACCAACAAAATGAAACTTAAATTAACATATGATTAATTAACAAAAACAAAATTATTATAAAAAATGATATTGATGCTTATGCATAATTTTAATGCAACCTTTTCAAATTAATTAAAGTTCGGGAGAAGAGATTAAAAGAAATTTGATAATAATTATAAATTCTCATCATTTTAGCTTTTATTTTTATTAATAAAATGAGAAAAACAAAAAGGAAGAGAAAAGAACGAGTTGCTTATATACGGTATGGACATTAAGTGTTTAAATTAAACGACACCGTTTTTTGTTGAAATCTGAACCGTTCGATCTGTGGCAAGACACTCAACCCTAATTTTGACAATACACCTATTAAACCCTCGTATCCACTTTACGCTCTCTTCCTTAAAGCAGCAGCACCTGAAGCAGAGGCCAAAAGCAGAGCTTCACAGATTCTTATCGACCTTCGCTTCACTGCTTGGTAAGCCTGTTCATCATTTGGGTTCTCTTCGTTTTCCCCTTCGTTTCTCGTTTATTTCATATATTTCAAAGCCGCTTCTTTTCATTTTTATGTAGCATAACAATGAAGCCATGTTTCAGCGTTTTTGAGTTAATTGACATAATGGGTAGCTTCACTTTACCTGTTTTTGAATTGGGTTCTCTTTGTTTTCTTCTACTTTGCACTCTTTTTTTTATTGCGATCCAAAGCGACTTTTTTTTCCCTTTTGCTTATAATATGTAGATAGATTGAAGTGTTATTTGAGTTTATTGACAAAATGGATTATCTTCATTTTACTTTTTTGTGAATTGGGTTCTTATTACTTTCCTTCTTTTGCCCATAAATTTCTGTCGTAGTAGCTTAGCTGATATGTGTGTTGGGTATTATCTTAGTCATTTGGGTTGTTTAAAGGTTTATTATTTTGTTTTTTCTTTTTTTTCTTTGGGTTATATTTTTGTCTCGTTAAGTTAGTTGTCGAAGCCATTTTCTTTTAGATTTGCTGTGGAAAATGTTAGGCTTTTTAGAAAATAAAATGGGAAAAAATAGAAAAATGAAACTTGTCAGTATTTATCATTTTCTTATTGACATGTACAGGGTTTGAAAATGTTTTCATTAACATTTAGGTTAATGGCATATTGTGTCCCTAGAAGAAGAATAGTGAAATTGTTTGGTGAACGTTGCTGGGAGATGTATGTAAGTACTTGTTGGTTGGTTACGCATTTTTTTAAGCTCACGTAATTGAACTAAAATGAGTATTTCCTGATTATAATTTTATGTTTGTAATTAATCTCTTTCTGTTAGCTGTGTAAGATTACATCTGTCAGTGATGGGGTTATGGATGATGGGCATGCTTGAAAATTACAAAGATGGTAGTCTGGGTGTAAACTTTTTTTTTGTGTATGAATTGTACCTCTTCAAAAGCTTGAATGGACATTTTTGTTTTCCAGAACTGCCAAGATGTATACATCAAGGAAGAAGATCCACAAGGACAAGGATGCTGAACCCACTGAATTTGAAGAGACAGTTGCTCAGGTTAGTCAAGCTCCTGTGTAAGCACCTTTTATTGTTTAGCAATCCAAATTGTTGAAGATTTCTGATGCTTGATGGTACCGCAGGCATTGTTTGATTTGGAGAATACCAACCAAGATTTTAGGGCCGAGTTGCAAGATCTGTATATAAACTCAGCAGTGTATGGATTCAAAGCTCATGGCCTTTTCTAGATTTTCATGTGTTCTCTACTGCTTAAATTGGCCAGTTTGTTGACTAATATTGAAGATGCATTTTAATCCTACAGTCAAATGGATGTTTCTGGAAACCGCAAGGCAGTTGTCATTTATGTACCCTACAGATTGAGGAAGGCATTCCGCAAGGTTCATTTACGTCTTGTTAGAGAACTGGAGAAAAAGTTCAGTGGAAAGGTAATTTATTCTACTGTTCCATTAAAAACCCAGATGAAATTTATTCAGTATATAAGAGTGGGTGAGTGTTAATTTCAAAGTTACTTGGTAAAAAGACTTAATTTTAGTTGTAAATTGGTTCATGTATTCTGTTGCAGGATGTTGTCCTGCTTGCCACCAGGAGGATATTGAGGCCACCAAAGAAAGGCTCTGCTGTTCAGCGACCTCGCACCCGCACACTAACCGCTGTTCATGAAGCCATGCTTGAAGATATGGTGCACCCTGCTGAGATTGTTGGGAAGCGCACCAGATACCGAATTGATGGATCCAAAATAATGAAGGTAGTTGAGATACTTTTGCTAAGCTTAGCAACACTGAATATGTTTTCTTTTCATTGTTGCTACCAACCATAGCATATCTAAAGTTGTTTTCCTCTCACTTCTCAGGTTTTGTTGGACCCAAAGGAGAAAAACAATACTGAGTACAAGCTGGAGACATTTGCTGGAGTATACAGGAAGCTTACCGGGAAGGATGTAGTTTTTGAATATCCAATTACAGAAGCTTGAAGAACTTTGATGGGACAAGCTTATGTGCTGTGCTTATTTATTTTAGAGTTCTTAATTGCATTGGATAGGGGTACTATTTGAAATTTTGACTGTGATTTAAGTTTGTTTTTCAAATAGGACAAATGAATATTTTGTTGAAATACTCTTTCTGCGGCCTTCACATTAATGAATCTTTTTGGCTTTCTTAATTCCTGGTTACGGAAGAAAGATTTAAGAGTTGGTAGTTGTTTTTTCTAGTTGCAAATATGACTGATGGTTGCCTCTGGTTTCTGATCATTCAAGTGAAATTGGCAATTGTACTTGGGGTGTAACATAGAAGCTCATAACTATCTGGGATTGTTTTCTTTTGTGGTGTTCAACCTTAACAAATTTGTAGGAGAAATGCCAAGGGCAAGTGTCTTTATAGTCAACAATCAAGCCTTGGTTTAGTGCTTCAAATTCCTTCTACCTCTCTACCGTGCACCCGTAACAATCAGTTCCATGCCTTTTCTATTGAGGTTAAGTGGCGTATATGTTAGAAGAACTTGAAAACCAATTCTGTGATTCATGCAAATCTTGTGTTCAAATTAAAAAGTTCATGGAATTCTCTTTGCTCCAACCTCCCATCATGTAAAGGGAAGCCTCTATACTTTGTTTCTGCTCAATGGATTCGTGACCATTAATTGCTGTCGTAGAAATTAGAGGTTTCCACTTCTTTGATGAAAGAAAATTAAAAAAAAAAAAAATGAAAGGTAGTGGGAGCATGGATATCCCACCAGTCCAACGGCAACATGATTATGGGTGATGGAAGACCAAATTTCTTGCACATAGAAATTAAGAAAATGAATTTAAATTATTTATTTATATTCTGGAAGATATGAATGGCATTAACTGACTATAATATATTTGCATGTCCTAACATTACATTGTAGTGCATGAATGGACAACTATAATGGCAGCAAAAGATAGCATAGATACATCCAATAAATAATTAATTAATAATTAATAACCTATTTACTCCTTTGGGCTGATGGCTGCAGCTCTGCTCTACACTCACAAGGCATGCAAGAACCTACTGTTCACCCCTGCCCTGTACAGCTGCAGCTCAGATGCAGTACTAATGGTAATCTCTGTATCGGCTGGTGCAAAAAGCACGTCTCCTTCAGTAACTATATCATTCCATGATCCGGTATGCAATGTTCCCTCCCCAACAAAGGCAAGGAAAATAGAAGGTCCTGGGATGGCTGGGAAAACAGCTGATGCCCCTTTAGGAAGAATGCAACGATCAACCTCAAACTCATCGAAGGGTGGGAGATACCTTGTTATGTACGGGCTCAATGGAAATCCTTTCAGGATTTCAGGATGGCCCTGCAACAGAAATAACAAGCAAAACATTTTTAAGTTGCAGAACTTCAGTTGCCCTTCATATTCATAGAACCAAGACCGAGTCAATCAAAACTATAAATTTTCTACTAAATTAGGCATTTCCAGGTTCAGATTCAATAAGCAATCCTCTGCTGAAGGCATAATTCTACAGCCCCATAAATAGAATGTCAACTTATTAGTACAGGAGTATTCATGTTAACATGATTTGCAGTAACAGGAAAATTAGTTTCTCACATCAGACTGAACATGAGGGAAAATAGGTGAAGCAAAACAAAGAGAACAAAGCCTCATCTTAAAAACAGAGAGAGAACAAGCCTGAGCAAGCCTTGGTGTAATTTTTCTTGTTCATTATTCAGATATGTTTTTAAATCCAAGCACAAGTGCACAACTTTTCTACTTATGGTAACAATCAAAACTGTCCCATTAGAAATGACAAACAAACAATGGCTATCCAGTCACCTTATTTAAAATAAAGCATTTCCCAGTGGCATCCGTGTCAACAAAGTTCATAAAGCAAGCAAATTAGTTCAGGAAAAAAGAAAAACTTTGAAATATTACTCTATTAAACACAAGCAGCATTTACAAATTATTTACTTTCACATAGAAAATGAAATTCGAAACCTTGATTAAATACTTGTACCTGCTTATATGTGAGCATGGAACAAAGAGTTTGGATATCACGATGCTTGGGAGTAAGACCAGCCCGCACAACATTGTCTGAAGTTGCCATGCATTCAATGCACTCACCACTGAGGTATGCATGAGGCTCATTTGCCCCAAGATACAATGCTTCACCAGGATTAAGCTTCACATAATTGAAAAAGAAGGCCGATATGACTCCTATGTCACCTGGGTATTGCTTTTCCAATTGCAACATCAACTGTTCCTTCTCTGTCAGGCACCTCAACTGATGCAAACAAAAGAAAAGAGAGTAAATATACTATCAAGCAAAGGTAAAGAATACAGCCAGAAGAGAAAAAAAGGGAAGAAAAACTATACAGAAAAGCTACATTTTAACAACTTTACAAGCTGGAAAGAGAAAGAGAAGATAATCTATCAAAGATAGTACTATAAAAATAAAAGAATTATTACAAAGTCTAATATGCCCTGGCCAAATGGAAAATAAAACAATATATAACATACACTCTTTGCAGCCACTTTGTCCCTGGCTGATTTCACTATACAGAATCAATATAGAGATATGCAAAATAAGCAGTGCTAAACCAGTTTAAGCCCACAACTTAGCTAAATAAGAAATGGCATAGGTTTTTGACCATCAGGACAACTTAATTGGATGAATTAATTCACGTACTAAAGTGACATATTTATAGCTTAAAGAGGTAAAGTGCAGAAGATCTCCAAGACCAAAGCCTATAAGGAAAATCAATTTGCTATCATTCTTTAGATAAATAAAGATTTGGTTAGGATCCACCTTTTGGTATGATAGCAAAAGTCTAGAACAGACTAACGCAAAGCATGGTTTCAAGTCAAGTCTTCAGAACAGCCACTTGATGCAGGAACACTAAAGGGAAGGACCACATCAATGTTCCCTCATAGTATGTTTCGAAGGAATATAACTAGATGATTACCATTGATCCCTTTCTCAATTTTATGCCTATATGCAGTACAGAAAAATATATATAATGCTGAAAATTTCTGCAGACCTGACTTTTCATGTGCAGCCGACTTTTCAGCTTTGATATTGCTTTAGTTGTCATCTCCTTGCTAGCTGACATGAGTTGGGTAAAAACTGACCGCAGAGCAGATTTTACTTTCTCTGCCCCATGTTTCTCGTCAATATATAAGACTTGGTTTGCTGATGCAGTGCCAACCAATTCTACAATCTCAGGAACATCTTTCAGCACACCCTTAAGCTCCTGCAAGGGGGATAAATACTTGATCCAAGTTAGTAACTACAGTTGAGAAAATCACCGGCAAATTTTATATACATAGACAAGATGCATGGTTCACCAAAACCAAAATACATGTGAGTTATTGGAAAACCACATGAATAATACCTAAAATCCTCAAGATATTTCAGACATAATTTGGAAATAACTGAGTGAGCAGTAAGACAAGATTTGAGGAAAACACTCAAGATGGATATTACTTCACATTTAAAAAACCTTTTTCCACTTCATGCAGAAGCACTATGAAATTGCTTGACTAGGTATCAAACTTCTCTAAAATGTGATGATCTGGGTAACAGTACTGGAGCATTATAATCATTAGCTCATACAGACAAGAAATAAGCTTTAAAATGTCAACAAAATCCCTCTACTATCAATAGACATGAGAATATTCTGGTGCAGTGACATTAAATTGTAGCAAAATGACAGCAAGTACAATAGTTAGGACCCTACTATTTAGGCCAAACTTTGAGGATGAAACAAGTCCAACCAGAAAATTTAGCAGCGGGTGTAAGTTTCATGATAAGTCAAGATCAATTATCTTCTGTCTCTAATTCAGATGGAATTCAGCCTCAAGGTTTCAGCATGCATATCATTTCCATAATAGTTGTTTAGCATGATTACAACTTGACAGCATAGATGATAAGTGTGTTTAGTCAAAAATGTATGTATCAATAACTATCATGTATATCCACTGACAGAGTTTTATCAAACATAAGGGCAGAGTTATTTCCTTCTCAAAAAAGCCAATAAGCAGGCGAGAAATATTAGCAAAACTAAAAGCTCCGCCCAAAGCTGAGCATGATTAATGTACTACCTCAAGAGTAATGAACCCACAAAGGGCCCTGAACTCTGTTATTGCCAAAGCCATCTCAGGTTTGTGATTACCATCCTTATAGAGATTTGGCTGTAACTTATGCAATCCTTTTGCCAATTCTTTATCTGGATGTGCCTGTATTGACAGGGCTTTTGCCACTGAAAGTACCTATATTACAGCATATGGTTATAACCACAGAACCAAATTAGACAATATATAGACAAATTTGCTGATATTCTAGTTAAAGTGATATTAATATCCATTTTACACTGTCAAGCTTAGTTCTTTGGCATGAACTATCCAAGATCCATTCCAATATCCAAATTGCTATATAGATAGTGTTGATTCAAATTGAAATTGAGATAAAACCATCCAAATTAAACTGATAAATACCCCAAGGAGAAAATAAAGAAAAAAAATCACGAACACCACATTAAATCAAACTTCAGTTACATTCAACTTAAAACCGAAAAATGGTAAATAATAAAATTTTAGATGAGTAGTGAAAATTCAATCTCCATTAATATTGAAGCCAAAGAAGATGGCTTTCCCATTAAAACACAAAAGACAAAAACTTTAAAAAGAAAACCACTAATCCAATAAAATCCAAGGAGGGAAAAAAATATAGAGGCAAAAATCAAAACTCAATTTTCCACTAATCAAAAAGAGAAAAACCCAGAAAAATGAAAATCACTCAAATCCAAGTAAATGAAGAACAAACCTTGAACAAGAAAGGAAGATCAGACCCCCACTTTTCCAAAACCTTATGACCAAGTACATTCGGATTCTTCCCAATCCACTCTTTTAAACCCACATTTTCTTCTTTTTGTCCTTCTTCATCAGCCAAAAAACTTGGCCCTGAGTCATGGGTCCCCATCCAAAACTCAGCATAAGGCCTTTCAGACTCAATCTCAGCCCCATAATTCAAAGCCAACAGCCTTGCCACCTGAGCCTCCGCTCCACATCTTCCCCAATCGTAGTTTTGCACCCAAGCTCTTAACCGCCTCAACTTGTCAGCATTAGCTTTTGCCATTGTCGAAATGAAAAAAATAAATAAATAAGAGAAAGACCCAACAAGGGAATGAATTAAGTTTTATTTTTTTGGACGAAAGAAA